CTATTTAAAAGCTTTAAAGCTTAGAAGTTAAAATTGACCTAATATAAATTCCATGTAGGTAATAAATGATTACCTATATAATATTATTACAATATATGTACATATAATAAAATTGTAACTAAGTCGAATCTGTACATTATATATTTTTTGGCAAATCTAATTGAAATAGACATTATTATAGATATAGAGTCCGATTCTATAGTTTTTAGAATTTTTGTCTGCCTGTCTGTACTGTCTGTTACCGCATCACGAGAAAACCACTGGACTCATTTTGATGAATTTGGTATGATGATAGCTGTTTATCCGGGTCAACATATTGGATACTTTTTACCGCGGGAAAATATCTCATTTCTGAGAAAAAAAATACAAAAACTGCATTGTAAGAGTATATACTAATATGTAAAACCTAAGAACTTCATTTTTGGTTATCTGGACGCGGGCGGAGCCGCGGGCAATGCTAGTTATAAATATAAATGTTTGTATGTGAGTATACAGTGCATTTGTTACTCTTTAAAGCTGTTCCTGGCTTTACAATTTTGGAACGGGTATGTATACCTTGAGCGGAGCCGTGGAAAAATGTAACTATAGACTAAAATATTATTTCAATTAAAAGTTCATGAAATATGTATTAGCCACTTATGTCAATAAACCATTTTGAAGAAAAATCAGGCCAACAACACGTCGTGTAACAATGGAAAATTTAAAATGTTTATATTATAAAAATACACTGAGTTGTTTACAAATAGCCAATAAAATATAAATTAATTATTCTGCAATTAAAATTTAACAATGATTAATTGTAAATGTATTATACTTCATTTAATAATAAGTTTTGCATTAATATTAATATGGGTACAAACATGTTATATTTCCATTCCTTCTAAGCTTTTTAAGATGATAATATGTAATATAATTAGTATATTTTTAATTTTAGTTGATTTTATACAGTCCTTTCATTGCGCCACTCAGGCGCCATATTTAATCGGTATTCACTAAATCTTTTCCAATCGATCGCTTTCTCTTAACGGAATCGATTAAATTATCGTAGACCTGAATTTTAATTTACAGTTAGCTCGAGAGATGGCGTTAGTTACATTCGTTTTAAAAACATTTATTTAATCTTAATATATATATTTCTTGTGTGCGTGTGTATGTGACTGAACTCCTCCTAAACGACTGGACCAATTTTGATGAAATTTTTTGTGTGTGTTCAAGGGGATCTGGGAATGGTTTAGATTCACAATTTGAATATTAATTTTCATCAAAAAAATTATTAAAAAAAGTTTGAAATTTTCAAATTAAAGACGTGTAGACAGGACAACGTCTGTCGGGTCCGCTAGTACCATGTTAAATAACTTTAGAAATTAATTGAATTCTAATTAATTGAATATTATATTTAATAAAAAATAATAAATTTTGTAAAATAATATACAAATCTATAATTGTGACTAAAATTATATTCTACAAGCATATAATGATTGCCTACTTACTATCTATTCACATCATTGTGAAAGAAATGATGACAAATGGAAGTATATATAATAACTAGCGACTCACCCTCGCTCCGCTCGGGTTCGTCCCTGGGGTGGGGTCTGGGAGGACCACCCTTATCCTTATCACTTAGGGGTATGAAAAATAGATAGTAGCCGATTCTCAGACCTACTGAATACGCATATAAAATTTGGTAAAAATCGGTAAAGCCGTTTCGGAGGAGTACGGTAACAAACATTGTGACATGGAAATTTTATATTATATAAGATAATTTTCCTTCCAAGAAATGAAAATCTTAAATCTATACTAATATTATAAAGAGGCAGAGTTTGTTTGTTTGTTTGAGCTAATTTCAGGAACTAATAATCCGATTTGAAAAATTTCGCATTAGATAGCTCGTTTATTGATCAAGGTTTGTAGGCTATATATCTTATAATATATAGTCTATCTATTCCATACTAACCGTTAAAACGTGCCTAGAGACGAATCCGAGCGAAGCGAGGGTGAGTCGCTAGTTGTCGAAGAAATAGATTTTAAACCAAACTATACATCTGAGTTTAATTTAGAAAGAGGACGTTACGTTTATGGATCATCAGAAATTGAATAGTTAAGTAAAATTTCGTGACACATTAACAAACTCTACACGTATTCCATACGTTAACTTAAGGTACTTATGTGAAGGAGGTTGTTTACCTTTCATGGGTCAAATGTACTTCACTTTTAATTTATTCAACATCAACATGTTCATACAATAAATATTTGATAGTATAAAATTGGTTAACATATTAATTTTAATTTATTAAAATTTATTAATAGTCGAGAGAGCATTGTCATTAATTAACACGTGTTAAGTAGCAGTTTAATTCGGCTTTTCTTTCAAGCAGATATACCGAGACAGAGTTTCATACAAACATCCATCCTATCAGCCATTTTACGTAACGCCATAAAGGTTTTAAAAAGTCGTATTTTCATTCCCGAACTTTCCTATCTTGCCAAGCGGATATGTCGTCATTTACACGAGTGAATAGCCTTTACTCATCTCGTCTCTTATCACCGATTGTCCAAATTTGCCGATCCAAATGCGGCCGGAACCCTTTATCTGATACCGTTATAATGATACGTTTCTTAGGATTCCATTTGTCATTCTAAATACACCTTTAATATTTTGAAGTTTGTATGAAAATATACAAATTTTTCTTAAAAATCTGTATGAAAATATATTCTTTTTGATATCAAAACAGCAGGATTTAATATAACCAAGATTATAAGAACAACAAAGATTAAAAAATAATAATTGCCAGACGATAGCAAACCATCAACTTCATTCTTCATGTTGTTATCTATACGTATAATAAAATTGTAACAAAGCCAAATCTGTATATTAAATATTTTTTGGAAAATCTTATTGAAATAGACATTATTATCGATACAGGGGCCGAATCTATAGCTTTTTAGAATTTTTGTCTGTTCGTCTATCTAGTGTATTTTAATGAAATTTGGTATGATGGTAGCTGGTTATCCGGGTCAACATCTAGGATACTTTTTACCCCGGGAAAATGTCTCATTTCTGAGAAAAAAATACAAAAACTGCAATGTAACAGTATACTAATATGTAAAACCTAAGAATTTGGTTTTTGTTCATCTGAACGCGGACGGAGCCGCGAGCAATGGTAGTATATTATATATTCATATAAAATATTTCATATAAAACAAATTTTAGGTGCGATTCGTGGCTTATTTAGACCAACTAAACTTGAACTGACCTTCACAACTCTATTTAGGGATTCGTGATCCCATTATGAAAACCCTGATATATATTATATCTAGGTATATTATAAAAATATACACCGCACTGACATACATATTTTAGCTCAAATATTTTCTCAATTCTTTCAAGATACTGTGGACACAAGTGTCTCAATCATAAAGGGATGTTGCTTGCTTCCGAGATACACTCTCGGCTGAGTAAACTAAATTCCGACACTGGTCTTAAATATGGCGGTAATGAGTTATTCTTTATGCGTTGAGCAATATTTGGCATCAAAATTGTTTTCTTTAAGATATCGAATTCAAGTTTCGGAGGCGTACAATACATAATTATAAATTATGCTAAAGAAATTCTTTTGTTTGTCCGTTTGTTCCACAGGCCACAGCAATAAAGCCATCGATGTTATTTATTCGATATAGTTTATTGACAACGACATAGGTTGTTTTATCCAGTTACATGAAAGAGACGCTACGCGTTATCATATTTTATATCCTAAAGGTAAAATTTCAACAATCTTGATTACGGTAAATGTCTAAGATTTAATCACTCGCTTTCATATTGTTACGATATTATCTATACATTTTATCATTCATATATATTTAAAAGAGAATTTTAAAAGATAAAACGCCAATAAACATGACACATCAATTATGTTTAACGTAAAAAAAATATTTTTATAAGTATTTTAACACGCCCCACTCTTGATTGGTTATTGTATAATAAATTACTTATCGGCAGGTGCTTTCAACGTTTAACTATTTTGAAACTGCGATAGGTACCTATAAAATGTTCAAGGATTTTTTCTTAATTATGCGCTTGCTACGTCGTAGTGATGGCAAAAAAGTTCAATACGTAGGTATCTATTCTACTGTCGACAATTAAATGTATGACAGTTTAATGAAAAAGCATTGGAAATCTTATACAAATAAAAACTATAACGATTTGATTGTTTTACTATCGACCAGCGTTGAATTATTGAGATAACCGAGCTTACCTATTATTAATATTAATTTTATATATATATAAATAAATAACATTCATGGCTTCCCAGATGAAGGCTTAAGATCATATATTTCTCAAAAGTATATTACAATTCACTTATATGAGAAATCACAGTAGCTAAAGTTTAACTTAACACTATTGGGTACATCGAAAATTCACAGGCAAGACAAATATGTACATTGTACATCATATATGTATCTCAACATTTAGCCTTTTAAATGAAGGTAGTTGCAAATTACTAGTGTCAAGTGATGCGCACGCGCAAGTCATGAACGAATTATTATCAGTCGTCGAATTTCTACGACGTTAATGGCACGAATCATCTTGCGGAGTTATTATAGCGATCGTGTTGTCTGGTGTTACATCCCGTCGCAAATTGTACGATCCATTCAACTTCAAAACGGTGACAGGAAGTGCATTTCATATGAAGACAATGTTTAGCTAATGACCACATCACTACCAATAACTCCAGAAGTCATAGGTTTAATCCTGTTTTGATCTGAGAATAGACTTTAAGTCTTGGCAATCTCAATGGACAAGACAATTTCTACTAATACCTACATATTTTTAAAAAGCTATTTCCACCGATATGGCTCGAGGGCAATTTCACAATAGGGATAATAGTTATTAATATATAATTTATGTCGCGTAAAATTTTTAAATGAAGGGTTTATAGATGAACATAATAAAAAGATAATTTAAAGATCTAGAACATGCTAAGTACTTAGTAGGTACTTACGTTGCGCAGAAGGTGGCTCAGCCGCGGGGGGAGCTGGGGCGCTGGCTGCCCCCTGCATGGCCCGTGGAACGCGACCTCGACGCCGCCTGCAAACACTGTTATTTAGTAAATAATATAATCGACTTTAGGGGTCATTTTTATTTGTTACAAAAATAAAGTTTTTTCACATTTATTCTGACGTACCTGTAGGTACATCTACAGACTTACATATAAGGGTAGTTTAGAATGTTAGTGGTGATGTGGGATATTAAAAGCTAATAAACATTGCCATATTTTATACCTAATATGTACATTAAAAATTTACAGATAAAAAATACTGTGTATAATACGAAACCGGGTTTCCGATGTTAGTATTTTTCTTAGATTAAATGAAGAAAATCAATGATCTCATTTGCACTCGACAATAATCATGAATCCTTTGTGATAAAGTTATAAGAGTGGTCGTTTTAAAGATATTTATGTGTCTATATTGTGATCCATAGTACAGTTTTATTAGACAAAGAGGCGCGTGAGTCACAAATCCTTCTGTTTATCGCTTCGTTTCCTGCAAATGTGCTTCAATCGATACATAATGACTCTATCCCTTTTACAGATAGGTATACATAAAATGCAAGAAGTTTAACTTATATTATTTTACACATTGATTAAAATATTTCAGCAATGATTAAAATTATATAAAAGCTACGATTTTAGTAGTAATTATTTGTTTTCAGTAATTATATACATCTATACTAACATATAAAGACTCAAAGTTTGTTTGAACGCGCTAATCTCAGGAACTACTAATCCCATTTGAAAAAATATTTTTGCAATAGATAGTCTGTTTAATGAGGAAGGATATAGGGTATATTTCATATATAATTATATAGTCTATCTATTCCACACTAACTGTTAAAACGTAGGTACCTAGGGACGAATCCGAGGGTGAGTCGATAATATTTTTTTAGAAAGAGTTCACGTACAAAACATGATATCGAATCATAACAGAGGCCATCAATACCTTTATGTTTTAGCGCATCTATCTATATAGAATGAAGCAAAATCAATAGTGTTGTATGATAATGCAGCAGTATGCTCTGCACTTTGAGTGACCTATTATAGAGACAATGCGTGGTAATAACCTGACGTCGGTATGCGCTTACTAAGTGCAAGAGCTCATGGACGCCATTTTGTCTAAAACATTAATTTCAAATATAGAAAACTACATTTTAATTGGTTCCTATGATGCATGATTTTATAATTTTGAAACACAATCCATTAAAGCTTTTGTATTAAGTACACTTCGAAATTTATAATAAAGTCATAAAATCTAAGATATTACAAGTTAATTACATATAATATTTTTGGATCGGAAAGGATAGAAATATTAATATCCTTTGCAAATAATAATAAAAAAGAATGAAATGAAAATGGCATATTGAAACTATGTATTGAAAGTGCCATACCAGTCTCTTTTGCAAATAAAAAAAAATACAGATTTCTAAGATAAAAGAAAGGAAACGGTAGCATTCATTTATCACGACTTTTTAAATTATAGCGTAGAAAATTTCTAGAAAAGTCCCAATTTTTTTGTTTGTTTTCGTAATGGCTTGGAATTGCGTTAACAAGACGTGCAATACATCCACAAAACTTTACATAGCTGGTATACTATGTTAATGTTCTTTGTTCTGTGGCATATAGACCTGCCATTTGGGCACTATTTACTTCGCCAATGTCGTGTAGAATGGAGAAGACACGGTAGAGATTGAGAATTGATCGGTTTAAAAATAGATATTCACACTCTCGTTTATTATAGACTGCCTATATTTTCTGTCAAAAATGACATTTTAATCATAATATATTTTTTAAATTAAATCTCATATTTTTAAACGATCGACATATCTTGAGAAAGTTTTTCCGTCTCAGTTTTCGCAAAATCGCGAACAAAAGACAATGAAGCCGCCCGTCGGTGCCTTTGAAGCCTTACATTACTTAGAAACGTGTAGAATTGTAATTCAATATTTATTACTATCTTAGTGTGCCGATAACACTGAGAGTTATTATTTTATGACCATTGATGATCTCATATAAATAATATTCGCGTATAGGGTAAAACAGACCGTGTACCTACCTACAATCAAATATTTTATCGATTTTTTAATGAAAGTTTAATCTATACTATCTATACTAATATTATAAAGAGGTAAAGTTTGTCAGTTTGTGACGTTATAGGGGGTAATCTCTGGATCTACTGAACGATTTAGATAAAATTTGTTAAGAAGATAGTTTGGGACCCTAGAAAGGGCAGTATAATTTTTATCCAGGAAATCATCCCTTAAGGGGTTGAAAATGGGGATGAAAGTTTTTATGGGGAATCAAGCTAGGGACGAACCCGAGCGAAGCAAGGGTGAGTCGCTAGTTTTAGTGTATAAATAAATTAGTTGATGTACGAAAATATAAATCTTCATAGCTTAAGTTTTAAGGTAGATTGTTATAAATTCGAGTCGCTACTCGATAGAAATATAAAGGCAATTCTAATCGATTCTAAGAAAAGCTATAAATTATTGTGAATTATTGATTTGTATAATTGAATAGGTGGAATAATATTAAATACATGTAATAAGGTACATGAGAAATAAGTAGGTACCTATGTTAACTAGAGGATTTAAAACTATGTAAGGGCTAGAGAAAATAAGTAGATACTTATACAAATTATTACTAAGTATCCATTTCTTAGAATACATTTTATATGGTGTTATAGATTTAATAAAAAAAAAGTACTAATCGCATATCAATTAACTAATTATTGGCCTTTCACTATTCTGGTAATTTTTAAATATAGCACTTTAAGTAAGAAATAGTAATAATAATATATAATTTATGATATAAAAATAAATAATTTATAATATTAGGTAGTTTTATGATAGCTTAATTCCCCATACAACTTTCATCTCCATTTTCACCCCCTTAAGGGATGATTTCCGGGATATAAAGTATCCTATCTTCTTCCCAAGGTCTCAAACAATGTTCTAACCAAATTTCATCTAAATCGGTACATAGATCCAGAGATTACCCCCTACAACATCACAAACTTACAAACTTTACATCTTTATAATATTATTATAGACTAGCATTGCGCGCAGCTCCGCCCGCGTTCAGGCCAAAACCAAATTCTTAGGTTTTACATATTAGTATACTCTTACATTGCAGTTTTTGCATTTCTAGTTCTCAGAAATGAGACATTTTCCCGCGGTAAAAAGTATCCTATATGTTGACCCGGATAACCAGCTATCACCATACCAAATTTCATCAAAATCTCTCCAGTGCTTTTTCTGTGATGCGGTAACAGACAGACAGACAAACAAAAATTCTAAAAACTATAGATTCGGCCTCTGTATCGATAAATATTTCAATAAGATTTTCCAAATATTTAATGTACAGATTCGGCTTAGGTACAATTTTATTATATGTAATCGCTTATCCGCGCTTCGCTCGGGTGTCACTAGGCACGTTTTAATTTTTTTGAGCAGAACCCTAATCCTTTTTCTAAAATAAAAGTAGCATATGGTACTCCTTATAACGTCAGCTATCTGCCAGTGAAAGTCCCGTCATACTCGGTCCAGCCGTTTCAGAGATTAGCATTAGCAGCATTAGCGGAAGAAATAGACACAAATTTTTTTACAATAATGTATTTTATAAGTACCTACCGTATATAACTTCATATATGCATTTAGTAAGAAGCTGTTGTTTTGACATTACGAACACGACATTACGACACTTCAATTTTATTTATCTGTATAGGTGTTTTAAAAAGATAATTAAAATAAATATAGGTATGGCAACATTAAATTACATTTCTTTTTTAATTTCATTCATTTACGCATAAGAATTACATCTTTTTGCACTTCGCCGCGTGAAATAGTAAAATATTATTATTGTGAATAAATAATAATAAAATAAATAATTATTTTAGTTAACATTTTACTATATAGTGATTTGTGAAGTTAAAAATTCAGAAGTACGCTTACAGAGAATCAATCAGTCTCATTATCAGTGATAAGAGACAAGGATTTCACCTGTTATCAGCGCAGACGTGATCGGTCGACAATAGCTAAGTATTTGTAATACTTGTTTATGAATTTGTCAATTCTTTTAGGCATCTCATACAAAGGTTTTGGAACATTATCAGTATGCGTGAAAAGTTTTTCCCGATTTCACGTAATATTTAATATATGTGCATAATGGAGTAAGCTGTAAGAAACATTGCCAATGCCTTCTTTCTTACAAATCAATTGTCATGATTGTTAATGTCAATTGGTATCGATTAGTTTAATAAACATTTCATTATATAACGTTTATAGACAAATTTGGCATATATAAGTAGACATACCTAATGTTATTTCTTACTTATAGGTATAGTCTGTACTTTCAAGCAAAAGCTTCACCAGCTTTTTCTGTACAGGTAAAAATATTATAAGATTAGGTAGGTATTATTAGAATAACCTTAAAGCAATTTACTACACTTTTAAAAGCTTTCTTTGTATTGATACTTTTTACTCAAGAAGCTGATGTATGACACTATTTATATAGTTATAAGTGACACTTGGTTGTGATATGTATTGGGGAGGTGGCTACGAGAAGGGCGTGTCACTTAAATTGTCTTATTGGATTCCCGTATAATTTCAGTTCACATTAATACTTTAAATATTTTTCTTAGAATATACAGATAACAAATTGTTCCTTTTATAGATAAAACTTTCTGGCATGACGTGTGTCAAATTCAAAATTTTCTTTTTCTATAATGGCTTACAGTTGCTATAACAGACACAATCGATTCCGTCCAAAATTCTTATTAGTAAAATTGTAAAAAAAAAACATGTATCTTCATAAAATGTGAAAAACAATAACGCACGCGGCGTGTCTATAAAAGTTAACATAAAGAAAACGACAATATTAAACTAATTAAAATATCAGTGTAATAGCTATTTTATCTTAAATCCGTGACAGTTGTTTTAACATCTCGACGTTTTATTTTTCATAGCGTTAGGTACGCTTCATATATGTACATATTTACATACTTATAAGCTATTGTTGACTGAAATAATCGATAAAAATACTTTTACAGTTTTAGAGTTAAGAATTATATATGTATTACATTTATTAATTTTCAATGATAGTTAACATTAAAGACTCAGTCTGGCATTTAAATGTCTATTGTGTAACAATAATGATTTTTAATCTTTACTATTTTTTAGTTTAAACCATGCCCATTTAACATAACAGAATAATTACATTTCTATAAAAAATATTCTAGGTATTAGGGTAAAAGTATTCTATTAGAGTCCTTATTAAAAATCAAACTGCCTTGATTTGAAAGAATTGAACACGTATGTATATACTCACGTTCAGGTATATACCTACCCAATTACATCTTTATGAGGTGTTGACTGTTGACGCAATTGAGATATATGCTAGATAAGTTTGAAATACGAATACTTGAGATATAAGTACAATTATGGTATCTCGTCGAGATGAAATTGAGATTTTATCTTTTATCTGTGATTTCATTGTTTGTGTAATATTATATGTTATTACTTTGTATCTGTAAATATTTTATTTTAATAATTATTTTATGCGCTTTAAAAATTAGTATATTTTGTTCATTTAGGAGATGAAATTAAAAAGTTAGAAGATTCTAATTAGAGTAATTTATTGATCAATCACTTATTATTATTAATTTCTTATAATATTTAATTGATACTGTAAGGATAAACCAAATGAGAATAATTTCATTCTAAGTGATCTGCACGTATGTATATATTAACATAATGTTACATATTATACTTTAAAATATATTTAGACACCTAGGTGTGTAAGTATATCTATTAATAATAGTGCATCGCACAATTTACTTGTCGCGGAAGATTTATGTTTTATTTAGATGATAATAAATATTTATTTGAGTATGAAACTTAAAAAAATACACTAGATCTCTTAAATATATTTATTATGTTAATTTAATGATATAAATAGCAAATAAAATATAAGTTTAAAGTCGTTTATAAATACGTACAGTTCATATTACTTTGTGCTTTCCAAATTCTATAAAAATTATTTATATGAGTGAAAGTAACTGAAGACCGTCGGTGAAAATTTATTTTTGATATTAAATTTTACATAATCCAAAACTAAGATCTAAACTAAGATTCTGCAATATTATATTTTTTTGTTTTAACAAAATACATGGCGATAAAACTTATTTATAAGAAAATAAAGGTGTGCCACTGAAAAACAGGCTTTTATCACTTATTTACATAAAAAATATTTTAACACTACGAAAAACTGGATTTTTATCGCAATTTTTAAGTTAAGTTAAACTCTGCGTTAGGGGTCAAGAGACGAGTACGACAAAGCATTCTAGCTGACTGGCGCTGTGAACACTGAGCCTACTCGATATTTATAATATACCACTTAGTCTTTACATAGGGCAACGGTAACGATAATTTGCATTGTAATCTAATCGGAATACTTACCCAATCGTGGATAATTTTTACGCTATCGGGCGTCTATTTAAAATAATAACGTCCAAAACGATCCCAGTCTCTCACTTATCACAAAGCACAGATTTCAGTCACATAAAAATTTAAAACACTTATTTTTATTTATTACAAATATTATATACGGTCACTCGTGGATGTATAGCATCTTCGCGGGAACGACAACCTCGCGCGGCGAGATGTCGTCTCCTTGTGATCGTGATGAGAGTACGCACTGTCGCTCTGCTCTCGGGGGAGCAGAAGATGGCTGCCGATTGGTCGAGAGCGGTGCTCGGCCGCGCGGATAGAGCGAGAGCGAACATCTCGGACACGACGAGATAGAGCGAGACGGATAGCGCCAATCGTTTCCTCCTGCTACAGATTGTCGAGTTCAGGTGGATCATTGAGAGTGCGTAATAATATGGAGATGCCCAAAGTTTTAATCAAATATTAAGCGCACTTTATCTTTATATAATATGGCGTTGTATCATAAATTTACTAACTTTTTTTGATAAATGATAAGCGAATCATAATTATTTATTGAAATAATTATTTTTATTTTGAATTAAGAAATAAATATATTTTTTTATTATTATCAATAGGTTTTAATACATTTAATTATAATTTAAATTTAACACTCTAAATAGGTTTTATTTTAATGATTTTGACAAGAATTCAAATAAATTTTACACAAATCTTTTATTTTAAATATAACAGCAATCACAGTACCTACACTATCTAAATATTATTTATGTTTTAATATATTTCAGTATTCAATCAATATGTAAGTATTAATATTTGAACATAGATAATCGGTTTTTGATCGCGACCATCTCCGTAAGGTCGACCTTTGATATCGGTCAAATGTTTTTAAGCAAACATAGCGCCCTTCGATCTGTCAATACGCGGTTAACACATATGTCATAGTGATCTCAAATTCAGATTAGAATATGAAGCATAATTCGATTATATTACAAAAACAAATCTATCCCACGGGAACCGTACTTTTTCCGGGATAAAATAGCCTATGTAATATTCTAATGTATGAGTTATATTATTGTAATATTTCATTAAAATCCATTCAGTAGTTTTTGCGTGAAATAGTAACAAATATCCACACATCCATACATCCAGACATCCATGCATCCTCACAAATTTTCGCATTTATAATATTAGTAGGATTTAGAGATAACGCAATACTCGCCCTTTCGCTGATACTCTATACTTAAAAATCTATATAATAAATAAGACACAATGTTCATATTATATATACATAAGTACATATACGAATATATATGTATCACTTTATAATGAATTAAAATATTCCGATAAACATAAATATACATAGATATAACTTGTCTTTCAGCATAGTTAGACAATAATAATGATAAAAATAAATATGTATTATAAATATACCTATATATGTATTTATATTCGGTTCAATACACTAAATATATTATTAAAATGCTATGTAGTTTGTGACTGAACTTTTATTACAGACAAGTACCTACCTAATAATAAAACTATTATCTTAAACCATGTTTATCTCTTACCATGACATTAATTGATTTTTGATATGTACATTTGTCTCAGGGTGAGGTTTTTCTACAAAGTAAACAACAAAGCCCAAATACTTCTTATACCTATTAGACTTATCTTTTCGGAGCAAAGGACATATATGTTTATCCACGCAAGATGTATTAGTTAACGGTTCTAAAGATATCGTGTAAAGGTGTTCGCTTGTATAGGAAACTATAATAATTATTATCTGATATGACGGATACTGTGTAAACAACGAATGTGTACTCAATATTCCTAGGAAGGAATATTATCTTTACTCTTTACTTATATCTATTAGGGTCGTGAAAGTAATTATTTAGATATTTGTGTTATATGATTTAAAAAATAAAATAAATTAACTAGGTGCATAATACATACTGTAAGAATTATTATAGAAATATCTTATGTATTGGGATTGCATTGAGATAAAAATATACATAGAGTTACTAGAGTATGTTTTAACGGTCGGTATGAAATAGATAGGAGTCGATCCCTTGCTCTGTGAAAAACAAATCTATCCATCAGGAACCGTACATTTTTTTCGACATAAAAAGTAACTATGTGCTATTCTATAGGAAACTATATCTGTGCCAAATTTCATCCAGATACATTCTGGCGTAATTGATTAACAAACATCCATCCAAACTTTGGTATTTATTAATGGGATTTGAAAATTACAAGAAATTGGAGTTATTTTCGATTAAATATTAAAGTATGTTGTATGTTACTTATTTTGTTTAATAATAAAATAATGTAGGCTCTCTTAAAACTTACAAGTCGACCTTAAAGATATATGTAGACATCGCGTTTGGTACATGTGTACATGAAGTGGAGAAATAAAGAATTCATATCGTGTACCAATGAGGTATAAATTAATAGTAAATTAATTGTTAGTTAGGCATAAACAAGTTCTCGTGCCAAATCGCGGAAACCGTGCGAAATTCATTCACTAACCGGCAACGACATTTACAAACATGGCGATGTAACGGAAAAAATAGATAGACGGGATGTGCAAGCAGTTAGTTTACAAAATATAGACTAGGGTGGTAATACATTACGTGTATTATCTAATAAAGGTATAATTGCTAATTAGATTATATCTCTGAAATTCTAATTCGCAAATGCTAGATCTTCTTATAATGCAAAATAAGATTTTTCTTTAACTTTTTAATAATAATATTTTATTCTAATAATATTACCAGGTACACTATAGTATCTACATATTATTCCTCATCCAAACATTAATTAACTATCGCATCACGTAATCGACCACTCGCATGTTCACCACTGGAGTGTAATTGCACGACAATCTATTTTTTTTCAATGAAGCAACCAGTAACTGACACTAGCCGGTAGCAATGTCTTACGTTCGCGCGCAAGTAAGAAAAAAGTTGAGATTCTTTTTCGCGCTTAGCTTCCGCTATGTTGTTCGCGTGATGAAAATGATGTATTGGTCAAGCGACTTTCTTTCACTTTCGTTAGAGAATAAATTGAATTTTCTTCTATGATTCCGTTATTCCTTGTTCATTCATGCTACTATCAATTTACTAGGTATTGAGAGTTAGACTATTATATAAATAACTATAATTTAAAGATTTCACCTGCAATCATTTTATGTGCCTGCATATTATGCAGGTAAGTTATACATATTACATGCGTAGAGAGAGAGAAATGCTTGAAAAGGACACTTTGTGGTGCAGTAAAATCTAAAACTATTGGTTAGATTGAGAGTGAAAGAGAATTAGGAAAGTTAAAGAAAAGTAGTTGATGGAAAAGAAAAAAAGCGTCATTAATACGTCATAAATAAAAAAAGATCGATAAACATACTCTTTTTGCTTAGAATGCATTTATAAATGTTTTTTTTAATTATACTCGCTTTTCAATTTTCAAATCGTTTTTTTAACGATCATACTAAATGTCCAATGCATCACATCTATCGTATTTGGCTACAATATTTGTATGCGGCGATATCTCCTCTTGCCAGTGTCAATATTGTTAGACGGGCCATTGACCTTTCTGGAGCGTACATGATGAGAATAACGTCTTTCGTGTTAATACTCTATTTAAGAATGTTATCTAACGTATATGGAAATATCTCAGTAATATTGTCATGTCAATGCTATTCTTACGTCGTAAATCGGAAAAAATCGTTACGAAACTTTTGCCATAGGTTTATTTAATCTGTATGTTAATGTTTTCTCTGTTTTTATTTGTAATTTAAAAATGTGAATATTTCAAAAACTACATACCTACTCGTGCTACTGTTAATCGATTAAATAAATGCCTGTTTATTAATAAGTTAAAATCTATCAGCTGAACTGAAGCAAGAAAACTGAAATCACTTATGAAAATATGAAACATATAAAAGCATGTATATATTTAAATAATTTATTTATACCTATTAAAAATCGAGAAAAATATGAAGATTTGCAAATTGCAAGTGTTCTACAGTAAACACATGTGCGTACAATCTATTTTATGTTTTATTTGTTTTTAGCGTCATTAACCTAATACCGGGGTAAATGTCTGGTTATAAGATTAAAATATATATACATATAGTTTTTTGTGAACGTACTTCCTTAACATTTCCTAAGCAAGTCTTTTCATACATTGTTGTCGTGTTTGTTTAAAATATAAAAAAATATTTTAACTTTTTCATGGCTATAGTGTAGTAGTAGTATAGTGACGTAGGTATATCTACATACAAATACTATAAGAAACGTTTTTAATTTTAATTGTAGTTAGCGTACCATTAGTGGCAATTATTAAAATACCTAACAAAATAAATTGCCCAAATTTAGATCTAAATACATATTTCGTACGATTACAAAATAATTTTATTAGCGTAATCACGTCCCATCTAAACTATTTGTTTGAGAAACCGCTTACCTAATTGTTTAAGTAATATTGAACGGTACAGAAGGAGGTTACCTGCAATTTATGACATTCAAAAATTATAATAAGTTTGGTAAGCTGAGATGAGTTAAAAATTAACATTTTTCTGCGTGGACCTTGGTAGTGCTACACGCAGCGATGAACAAAGCGCGGACATAAAGAGTCTATATGTGGCTTAGAGAATGGCTAGATAGAAGTCAATTAAATATAATAGATGTGTTCGAAAATTTTCTTGTTTATAGATTAAAAACGAATTTTCATATATTACCAAATAATATAAAATACTTTTTAATTTTTTTTTGTTGTTACTCGTTTTGAGATAAACCTATTTGCATATTGAAATTGAATAACAAAAAAAGACTAACGAACAAACATACTACCTTATTTATAAAAGTACATACGTAACTGTTATATGAGGCTTTAGTAAAATATTGTTTTATTTACATTTATTATATAGATACTAGCAGAACCCGCGGCTTCGCTCGCGCTAAAACTACAAAAAAATCTCTAAAAAGGTAGTTACATACAAACTTTCATTCCCTATTTTACCCCCCTATAGGATGAAGTTCGAAAAATTCTAAAACACGTACTTATTGATTTAATTTTATTGAAGAGCATTAATGCCGAGTTTCAAGTAATTCTGACCATAAATATTTTTTGAATCCTATTATAACGTGTTTTCCCATGGGAATGACATGATCTCCTGCTATAAAAAGTAGCCTATATCACCCTCCAGCCCTCCGACTATCTCCACAAAAAATCACGCCAATCCGTCACTCCGTTTCGACGTGAAAGAAGGACAAACAAACAAACACACTTTCACGTTTATAATATTAGTACGGATTATAACTTAAAAAAATATGGCACATTCAGTAGCTACATTATTCACTCAAAGCAGCGGAGGCAGCACATCGCAATCAAGCCATTATAATTATAATTTAAACGTTTC